CAACAGGAGGCCTGTTTGGTTAATGAGATGGTCTAAAAATGGGAAAGCTGCCTAGGTTGAAGTGTCCATGCAACTAAACTGGATTCAGTGATTAGGCAGAATTAGTGTGAACAGGAAATGTCAGACAAGAAGCCAGAACTAATAAACAGTCTTGGAGAAATAATGTGGTTCTGTATAATATCACAACTCTGGCTTCATAAGTGGCAATACTGGAGAAAAGACAAATGGCTAAGAAATAAATAGACAAAGATACAGATGAAACAGATATAGATAATGAGTTTCATGTAGGGAACATCTTCTAAGTACTATGAATCCCTGATCAGAAACCAATAAATAGAAAGGTGATGTATACATTGAATAATGTATTTAAAAATTGTTATTCCATGATACTTGAAAGAGTTAATATGCTGAAATCATATATCTGCTTACTTTTGTACTTAACTTAGAAGAAAGAACCATTTAATTCAGTGAAACTGGAGTCTTGAGTAGTATACTGTATGATTCCAGAGTTATTGATATTTACTATGAATATGTTAACCTATATCAAGATAGATTTGTACAGCTAAAAATCCTAGGGAATAAATTGTAACTATTTCCATTGCAAAGGCTACTAGGAAATAATAAGCAGCATTTATTTTGTTTAATATTTGATGTATTAAACTAGGATAAGTATGTAGAATATGAGAAAAAATGAGTTGTGTAATAAGTATTTGCATTCTTGTGCATGTCATTAGGAGATAGCATTGTAATTAGGAGTGGAAAAATCAGATACTTTATAATTACTGTAGTCCTCCATGTTGATTTGACAGATCAGAGTTATGGTTTAGTAACATCTGGATGGCTATAGATACCTTATCACTGTTATAGATATTATAGCAAATATATTTCAACTTGTAGATATCCATTTTTATGTTATGTTCTAAATTTTGATTCCTGCTATGGTCTGCAATCACCATTGTGGTCTCTGAGATGTGTGTGTGTGTATGTATGTATGTATGTACAGTATGTATGTATATTTATATACCACACAAATAGTGAGATAAATCTGAGAAGCTTGCAATCCTGCCATATATAAATAAGATTAAACCATAAAAACAGTCAAACAATGAATAGTATTACATAATAAAATATTCCTATACTGAAGAAGAAGAATATACCCATAAAATGTGTATTTTTACACACAAAAAAAATCTTCTTAAACCCTTTCTCACTTAAAGGCCTGTTGAAATAATCTGGTTTTAATTGTTTTCCTAAACTTCAGTAATATTGCAGCAAACTGAATCTCTGGGAAGATGCTCTAGAAAGAAGAGAGACAGAAAAAATTGAGACAGCATATGAGTTGCATCCTTGTGTAAAGGTTCACAACCTGGTAGAGATTGTGTGTGTGTGTGTGTTTGTATACACACACACTCACATGGCTGCCTTGCTCAATAACCATAATCTTAGCTCTTCCTATTTGTAGTTGTTAAATGATCACATAGCAGTGCCTTGGGGCTAGGGAGGCCCAGCATGTGGAAACCTGCCGTGATCTGGAAGCCACAGCCAAATAGGCCCAATGGTACAGAAGCCTCCTCCCACCTCCCCCTCATTTCCTAAAGATCTCAGCTGGCCAGGCCCACCGGTAAATGGAAACCTGTTGTGTACTGGAAGGCATTGGCCAGCTGTGTCTGCATCCAGTGATCAGCACACAAACTTCCTGCTTTCCCCTATCACTCCCAAGAAGCCTGGCCTCTCTCCCCCTCCCAATCATAGAAAGCTTCAGCCAGAGGTGGTATTCAGCAGGTTCTGACCAGTTCTGGAGAACCGGTAGCAGAAATTTTGAGTAGTTCGGAGAACCTGCAAATCCCACCTCTGACTGGAGATTTTACAGTATCTTTCCCCTGCCACACCCACCAAGCCATGCCCACAGAACCGGTAGTAAAAAAAAATGAATCCCACCACTGGCTTCAGCTGCCTAAGCCCAGATTCAGGAGACTCCTGGGGAGGCAGGCAGAAAAATACAGGTTTCTCAGGAGTGGGAGGCAGGAAGCCTGCATGCCACTGGGCCTACCCAGGAGACCCACTCTTATTTGCCTAAAACCCTTGACTTTCTCTAGCCTCCCCCCCCAC